GTCAACCTTGAGCCGCTCAGAATCGAACTCCTGGAGTGAGCAGTGAGTAGCCTGCAGTACTGCATTCTAACCACTGCGCCATCATGCTGCTGTTTACTAAACTCTCTTACAAATTTTTGCATTTTACCTAGAGGGAGAAGCATTTATGATATTCCTGCAATATACTCCACAAACATCACTAGATCAAGATATTTTATGCAGGTAAAATATATTTGGATTTGCCATTTTTATTGGAATTCTTCTTCAATAAATCCCAGCCCAAGGTATTTTTTTTTGCCTGTTTTACAAAACTCAGTATGAGCATTAGGATGCAGTAAATGCTTGCCACCAAATCTACGTCATATGCACTTTGGAAATAATTCAGAAGACTCTAAGTTTGTCCAGCTTAAATGTTTAAAGTTAGCAGGCACATAAATAAGCCAGGCACGGACAAACTGGGGCTGAAAGTGCATTTCTCAGACAGAGCTGGCAGCTGCCTTGGCTTATTGGCAGACCATTTATCATGTCAAGAAAAATATTGATGGTTTTCAAGATTCACAATTGCTCTGGCCCTGAGCTGAAGAAATGCTGTCTTCCAAGGAAGCTTTGAAAATGGAACCAAACCATGGTGTTCTGTCTCAACAGAAGGGACAAAGTGAAAAAAGAAGGATGAATCTCAGTGTAAAAGGTAGGCAAAAGAGCAAGGGCAGGCAACTAAGGCAATTTTATGACCTGTGGACTTCCAGAATTCCTGGGCCAGTCATGCTGGCTAAGGATTTCTGGGAATTGAAGTCCACAGGTCATAAAGTCATGATAGTTGCCCACCCCTGCCATAGAGAGACAATATTGCTACAGCAATTTCCCTGTTCTTTGGTGTGTATGTCTAATTATGACATATGGAGAAAGTAATCTGTCTCTTCTTAGTGCTGTTAGTCAAAAGATCTGCCAGAAGTACTGAATTCACAAGAAGTCTTATTTGCTATGCTAAAGGTATATTCAATTTGGTTCTTAATTTCTCAGATCACTGTCTTAAAAATATAGGGCAAGAGGAAGAAAAAATATTAAACCTAGCAAGATGCTGTCATTAATTTAAGTCTTGGGAGAGCAGAAAGGTAAAAACAAAAACAAAAAACATTATTGCTAAATAAATATAGCTTACACTCCCTTGTGACACATATACTAAATACAAATCTTTGGATCCTGCATACCTGAAATGATATTTGCTCCATAAGCAGTCCCACCTATGTCCATAACATTGGTTAGAATGAAGAGCTTTAAAGTCAGAACCAGCACCTTGAATTGGACCTGGTAACAAACTGGCGGTCAATGTGGCTTGCAGAACAGAGGTATAATATGTGCCATCCCAGAAGCACACATATCTGTTTGTGCCACAGCATTTTGCATCAGATGAAGCTTCTCAATACTCTTTATTATAAATTCCTGGTGGGGCAGTGGTTAGAACACAGGCAAACTCTGCCCACGGTCTGGAGTTCGATCCTGACAGGGCTCAAGGTTTTCTCAGCCCTCCATCCTTCCAAGGTTGATAAAATGAGGACCCAGATTGCTGGGGGCAATATACTGACATTGTAAACAGCTCAGAGAGTGCTGTAAAGCACTATGGGGAGGTATAAAAGTCAAAGTGCTATTGCTATTGCTATTTATTATACCCCAAATAGTTTCTGTAATAGCCAATTGATTCATAAATCTTATTTATTGATTATTGATTAAACTTATATGTCACTCATCTCACTGTCAAGTGATTCAAATCTTATGAGCATTGATGCCAATCAAATTCTTGGGGAATGTCTGTTTCTTTCTATCTATTATTACCTCGTAATTTGTAAATGTGCATTCTCATTTATAATCTCATCTTCTTTAGCATTCAAAATGATATAGCATAGCAGAACACAGAACGCATACTCCAAACCCCAAACAAACAAACACAGAATGACATGCATAATTTCTTCATTAACATTTTGTACCCCACATATCAACCAAAACATTAGCTTCCTTCCTTTTTTATCTACAAATGTTTCAATGGAATGGGCCCTCTTTCAGCCAGCTGCCAAGCTAAATCTTCAATTTGACATGGTTATTCTGCTATTGTTGTTAATACAGACAATTTCTGTAAATGGTTACTATCTTTAAAGTTCTGCATGTAACTCATTGCCTTTTAGATGATCATTGCCCTTTCATTTACACTAAAGGATGGAGGGTGTTACTAATAGGAATTTAACATTTACTAAATAATTACTTTAACAGTAAGTTTAACAGCATTTATATTATTCTTTCAACACCCAAGAGTTCACCTATCAGTTCCATCTGCTTAGTTTTCTTCTAATTTGTTTCCACTGAAAAGAATAAAAAGGAGAGAATTGTATATAGAAAGAGACAAATGCTTTTCTTGTACCAGAAAAAGAAAATCAAATACTTTATTAAGATTTCTTATATTTTTCAACTTCTTAGCGAAGCAATTTAAAAATGTCAAGCAACGTCCCTTTACGCTATATATCCATTTGCAATGCATGGTAGGATATCACTTACCTGTTATTTCCTGTGAATAAGAAAGCACAATTAGAGACTTTAAGGGGTCTCTTGAGTAAATTAGTAAATTTCGCAAAGGAATACACACACACACACACACACACACACACACACAGAGAGAGAGAGAGAGAGAGAGAGAGAGAGAGAGAGAGAGAGAGAGACAGAGACAGAGACAGAGACAGAGACAGAGACAGAGACAGAGACAGAGACAGACAGAGACAGAGACAGAGAGACAGAGATTTATCTATCATCAGTACAATACTTGAACCAGATAACAATCCCTTTCCCATTTCTATAAGAACAATATATACAGTATATATGCTCTCCTGTTATGTTTTAAAAGATATATGAAGTTACAGTACTGTCAGTAAACCTGTTTACCATGCTAGAGGGTCAAGAGAAGGCCACATTTCTTGTGAAATCCTTGATTCAAGTGACAGATAAAGAGACATGGTGTGGTTCCAGCTATGGTTTAACGTTTGGGAACAACTGGATACAATTCTTTGCATGTGAAAAGATCTCTTTAAAGCAAGAAATTAAACAAAGGATAAGAGTCGCAGAAGTTTTTCAAAGCAAGAGATGGGGCCAATATTTTATTTAGAGCAAAACACTATGGTAACTCTGGAGGCCAACTGTGCTGAATATGCAGTCTCTGTCCATAATGCCTCAATCTGAAAGAGGATTTTTTCAGAATGGGATATTGATTAGTGAGACTCCCCATTCTATCACAACTACAGGTAGTCCTCAGCTTACAACAGTTCATTTAATGATTGTTCAAAATTACAGTGGCACTGAAAAAAGTAACTTATGACTGTTTTTCACACTTATGACCATTGCAGCTTCCCCATAGTCATGTGATCAAAAGCCAGACGCTTGGCAACTGACTCATATTTATGACCGTTGTTGTGCCCCAAGGTCATGTGATCACCTTCTGCGACCTCCTGACAAGAAAAGGCAATGGGGAAGCCAGATTCACTTAACAACCATGATACTAATTTAACAACTGTAAAGATTCATTTAACAACTGTGGCAAGAGTAAAATGGGGCAAAACTCATTTAACAAATGCCTCACTTAACAACAGTCATTTTGGGCTCAGTTATGGTTGTAAGCCAAGGACTACCTGTAAGGAAACAAGGAAACAATAAAGAGATGGAAGACACTGGTGTGAAGTAGGTAAATTCATTCTACTCCCAATTCGATAAAAGTGGCACCACCTGGATTTCCCCCCCCCCTTTTGAATTTAATCTGAAGAATTTTTTTTTTAAAAAAAGACAGGCTGTGACAGCCTCCCTGCCTTTTAATGACAGCTAGGAGGACCCCCAAAAAATGTCCAGCCTTGTCATTTCTGCCTATATGCTACCAGTTTATCAGAGTTAACCAAAATAGCTGATTTCATGAAAAGTGTTCTGCAAACATGATTATCATATTAGGAAAAATGAGAATTTTCTTCTTAAAAAGAAGAAATAGACATTGCAGAGAGATGGGACACCTTTCTTGGCATTAATATGAGGATTATTAAGCTTATATTTTCCATATCCACCTATTCAAATCAGCTTGTGATAGTTTTGGAATAGCAGATCAGTTACGTTTATGGAAATCAAATAGCAGTCTCAGCCATTCTGAACATCACCACAAAATATAACAATTCCTATCTACATTTTATTCTCGCAAAAGGGATGTAGTTACATCTGTATAAGTTGAGCCTGCATGGACATAAATAGGCCAATCCGCTCTCACCCCTCAAAGGGGGAGAAAATAATAATGTGGGTGTTTTTTCAAGAAAGAGAGAAAAAGAGAACACAATCAAAAGGAGGATAGCCTTTCTGGAATATTCATTAGCATTTTCTCCCACAGACTAAAATTGTTTCTTAGCAAATTTGACCAAAGCTCAGAAGAGATTTAAGAGATAAAAATTTACCACTTGTCACACAATGTGGTATACATTTAGATCATTCTGCTTGCATGAAGAATGAGCAGATGGGGATTATATTTGTTTCCACAATATATTGTCCCGAAGGATATAAGAACAACTTAATAATCTTATATATAAGGATAACTTAAGGCAGTTCCTAATAGGAAGATTTCCTGTCCCTTTTCTGTCTCCCTCTCTTTAATTCACATGTATCACTGTACGCCTCCTGAAAAGCTTCTCAGTAGATTTGGGGATCCACACTGCACAAAGAGGCACAAAGGGCTGAGAGGGGGCAGAAAGAGACAGGCAGCACAAAGGAAAAATCTTTCTGGTTTGGTAGGTGAACCTTGACAAACCCTCCCAGAAGGACCTTTTAAAGGTGAAGTTCCCTGTAGGAGAAATTTATGCATGGGAAACCTCATTTAATAATTTTTCTAAGACACTTATCACTCCATTAATCCATTTCCTAAGATAGAGTCATTACAAACACTAATGATTAAGGATCTGGTTTACCTTCAGTTTCCAGATCTTGTCAGGGCAAAGAGAAATTTCTTTAAAGGATACAAGTTTCTTCTGAATATGGGACTGTAGAACTGGTTCCTCCAACTATGTAGCTGTAAAATGAGACTTCCAGTGTATAGCAATAAGAAGTGTCGTCCAATAAGCCCCCAAGGAAGCGACGTCCTGTCCCTGCCTTAACAGCATCTCGATTGAAGGAAGTGCTTGACTGATAAGAAAAAGATGAGAGTGGATGAAACAGGATTTTTGCATTGAGAAGGGTTTCCACCTATCAGGAAGTTAGGTGAACTCTATTTGCCAAATCACATTTCTGAAAACTCTTGACCTGCTTAAGAATTTCACAAATAGCTCTTGTGTAGTATATCTGATAGAGATTCAGCATGAACTGCATTAAGTCTTCTATGTTTATAGACTTTGAAATTAGTTCTTTTGTTTTACTCTTCCCAATTCCATTTCATAAACTCCAAATAAGGCACCAATTTTCTGATGCAATTGTGAGAGCATCTGAATAGCCCCGCAGTACTTTGCTTAGCGTTATTTGATGCATCTTAAAAAAAAAAAAGAACAAATAAACTTAAGCCAGTCTCCTTGCAAGAATGTTAGTAGAGCTGTGTGTAAAATAAATAATACTTTGTAGGAGATATTCACTGGGAACATAGAAACCAGGAGGTTAAATCATATTCTCCTCTAGCATTTGACCCATTCCACTATGTACTTCTTGGGACATGCAATTAAGTTTTAAGATTAGATTCTAAGGAGACAATTTACTGAAATTATAATTATTAAAATTGTTGCCACTTTCTATATTGCTTATAGGTTTTTGTATACATATTAAAAGAATTGTCATATTTTATTTTTAATTAGGTCTGGGCATACAGAAGCAAATCTGTAAGACTGGAAAGATACCAAGGCAGAAGATGAAATACTACACATTTTTATCTCAACGTGGCCATGCATTCAATAAAAGTCTTAGGTGATTTCAAGCTGACCTTCACTGCAGAAATGAGATAAATGCTTTAGGAACTGGTTCCTTGTTTTGTTTCTCCACATGTTTAATTGCTGCTCTGTTATTTGCAGTTCAATGATTCTGATACCTGAGTGCTCTAAGACTCCAAGGATCATGTAAATATTTAGTATTAAAGAAATATTGTATCTATGCAAAGAAAAAAAATCTGAAGTCATATCACTGCTCAGAGATCTTTTATAAGGGTTGAAGGCGTGATTCTTGAACACATTGCTCTTTATGTCTATGGAGATTCTCAATTATCCAGGTCATGGTTGTCCCAAAGGTGCTTTTTCACGAGGCAACTGGACTTTCTTTTGTCTTTTTGAAGACATTTTGCTTCTCATCCAAGAAGCTTCTTTGTGAAAAAGCACCTTTGGGACATTGCTTTTTATCTCTCAAGTGTTTCCTGTTCCCTTGCTCTGCTCCATAGTCTAAAAAAGATTTTTTTTTACTAGAGTTTGAGAGTTGTTTTAAACAATATGCAATTTCTAAATTGCATATAGTTATTAAAAGAGACTCCGTGTGTTTTGATAAGTATGTCATAATTATGGCATTTAATCTATTTTTTTCTGCTTCTACCCTGAACTGATATAGTGTGTTCCTCCAAAGCAGGAATGGCTTGGATCATACTGTGAAGAAATAACACCACCAAGGCTGAGAAAACTCTTTTTCTAGAATACACGTGAACTATTGACAATAAAAGACTTCTCTTCCCATCAAATTCCCTTGAGGTCAAATATCTTTTCAGACTAGGCCAGGGGTAGGCAACCTTGGTAGGCAACCATGTCTGGCTCAGGAATTCTGGGAGTTGAAGTCCATGAGTCATAAAAGAGCCAAGGTTGCCTACTCCTGGACTAGGCCATACGCTGCTTCATTCCACGCAGTAGCACAGTTGTCAGGAATCAGAGCCTGAGAAGCACAAAACTCCTATCTCTTGGAATTAGGCCGTCAGAGGAACTGATACATATCAGTACATGGCAGACCTTGATAAGTGAAGGCATACAGGGACACTGTAATTCAGAAATACCTACCTAGCTAGAAATATCTGTATTTTTAGCCTTCAATTAGTTTCACAGTTTCTCATCTGAAAACTCTTGGTGTCTTAATTAATTCAAAGGTTAATTCAAAGTAGATGAAATTCTGTTTCCTTTTAGCTCTAATCATATTCCCGCCAACTTGAGCTAAGGAGTTTTAAGCACTATCATAGCTCATCCCTTGTGTCTCTGCAAGAAAAATCTGCTATTTCATTAGGGAAGGAGAGAAATCTAGCAAAACCTGAGAAGAAGTGAAGAGCTGAAGAAATTGTAAAAGAAAGCCAGTAGGAAAGAATAAATAGAAGAGGTAGAGGAAAGGAAAACATGGTAAGAGAGGCATTGCTGGTAATATTTCTCTTTTTCTTCTGATTTCCCCCCTTTTTTACATGTATTGATTGTATTTTGCAGAGATTTTTACATTGTTTAATGTTTTGTATTAAAAATCAAAAGTAAAAAAAATATGCAGTAGCAATATTTGAATTACTCATTGCGATATCTTTAGGATAGAGTTTATGAATGGCTTTTGACCTTTGAATTAAAAGATGAACTTCTCACTGGTACAATGAATGAAATTTAGAGATAAACTAAATGTAATTTTTTAAAATTGAATTTATAGATTTAATTTAGATTTAATTATTTATAAATAATTATATAACTATTCCCTATACAGTCTGTTAATTTTTAATGCAATTTGTTACCACTTTATCCAAAAAATCCTAGGAGATACAGTGATAGTTAATAATTTCCCTTTTCTCTCATTACAGTTACATGTGGCAATGACTTTTGGAGGAGTTTGGGGAACTGGGAAATGTTGTATGTTGGACTTTGTCAAAAGTTTAGATTTTTTTTTTTAATTTGAACCTTAAGAAGAAATTGTCCTTTTGTACTTTTCTGAAACTGATCATTATGCTATCATTTTGGGGGGGGGGACTAAAGAGGCATTCATAAATTGTGTCACACATTCATATTTGTGTGTATAGGAACAAAATCAACACTGTAGCAACCTGAAGTTAGGTCACTGGTTAAAATAGGTAAAATATTTGCATAGGAATAAAGATTGAGGAAGAGAATGTCATGCACCAGGGAAATTCAAGCAATTCAAATGAACATAAAGATTTATTGCAAGCTTAAGCTCTCTACAAGAATCTGAGCTACTAATGGTCAAGGGAAATGAGCGGGAATTAAGAAAGCATTCAAGGTGGGCTGGACTTAGTTCTCTTGTTGGCATGCAGGGACTTATGAGGCATTTGACCTCTCCCTTGCACTCAGCCTGGTCCTACAGAGAATAAAAAAGGGGTCTTTTCAAGTTTGAAATCTACACTTTTATTTATGCTGTTGGACATAATAGACAAGTTTATAATCAAGCTGCATTTTGCAAACAGACTTTTTCTCCTAATCTCCTCTTCTTTCTACGGCCTCTACCAGCTTATCAACAGGTTGATAATCAGCAAATTCAAGACCCAGAACTAAATATTTCTGCCTACATATTTCTTTAAATGGTCTAATGTCCCAGGAGAAACAATTCCTAAGTTGGGACATCACAACTGAAAACCTCTATTCCTCAGTTGCCACCAACTTCAAATCAGGCTGAGGGGTTATTAGGAAGAAAAATAAATAAATTGATGGACATAGTCAGTGGCAGATTGTATGGTTGTTCCTGGGCCATTCTACAGGGTTTTAAAGCCAAGCACCAACACTTTGAACTGATCTATGAAACGGACTAATGGATGACTGATCCCACATAATATGGCATTTAACAGCAGAATGTACTCATTTCAGTGTCTTGGCCATTTTCAATGGCAACCTGTTGAATAACAGATTAGTAAAGGAAGAATATAAGCCGTATGAGTCAGTTTTCTGGCCTGGAACCAAGCATGTTTCCTTTCTTTGGTTTCCTCTTTGCTTTGTGTTTGCTGGATGATACATCAAAGTGTTCAGTTCTTTGGGAACCTTAGGCATTGCAGTTCCTCAAGATCCCTCTTCAGGTATCTCTTATTTAACAGGTTTGAATTCAGGCATATTATCAGATACTCTGCCTGAATCTTAACCTACTACATCCCAATGATCTTCTTTATTTTGCCAGAAACTGGAGCTAATGCCCAGAATATGAATTAGTCTCTTGTATGCCTTAATTATTGATTTGATTCTTGTTAATAGACAATTATGGAAGTGAAATCACATGAACCTTTAAATGACTGCATGAGAGTGTCCAGCTGGTTTTTCTAATTGTAATGTTAATGTGAGAGAATTAGCCTTAAATCTATACCGTACATTTCTATTTTAATCATGTAATCATGACATTCTTTCAGAAGATGAGAAAACATAAATTTGCTGAGCAACATTTCATAATTTACTAATGCCATTTGTGGAGATTTAAGTTCTAACCTGAATTATAGGAGTCATTACTATTTAATACTAAATGTATTTATACTGTGAAAGCAATTTCATCTAATAAGTACGATACTCTACTTAGTTCAAATATCAGAGCTGTGCTTTGGAAAGAATATAAGAATTGAGATATTTTGCCAAATTTACAGGGAAGAAACCTGAAATGTTCACAAATAGTGGTTTGATCCCGCCTTAATAAATACTGTTTCGTTTTCCCCATTAGCAGCACAAATAAATGTTATATAGTAACATTTCTGAATACTCAGTGTGTAGAATTAGTTATTTGGAGGCACAGAAATAAAACCAGAAAATCTGCAGTTATGTAGAAGACATTCCCAGGCAGAATGTTTATTTTTCAACTGCAATTTGTGTGAGTGTCATGGTTGAAAAAAAATATACCTGGCTTCATAAGGAACATTATAAGGAAGCAGCAGGTATAAATTTAAGGAACTCAAGGAAAGAAGGTTGCACAATCCTATTTTCAGAGTAACACTCCATCAGTGAAAATAAACCCCTCACACTTGTATAGATTTATGCTAATTCTGAGTCCAATTAAATAGTCAAACGAAATATCTCCAGGCGGGTATTTCTTAAACAAATTCACCAAAATTTGTTCTTTAGTTGATCTTCATGCAGGCAGAGGTGCTGCACGAAAAAACCCCAACTACGCTCACCCCCAATAAGCAAATCCAGAAAAGTGGCAACAGTGCTGGTGAATCCCATTCTGCCACCAACATATCAGTAGCAGGAGACTTAGTGCCAGCCTCTTGCCTTAAAAAAAATGCTCATTAATTATTATGGTGTGAATATTGTTACATCGAAGTGGAAGCCATTATGCAAGCTAAATGGTGTTATGAACTGAAGTGTAGAGGGGGACTTCATTTCAAAAGTTTCTTGCTGCTTTCTGTCCCTTAACTCAATCAGACTTAGCTGATATTTTAAGAAAGAACAATAATTTCAGAGATGCTATCAATGGATACTATTGTCTTAATGTTGCTTCTGGGTCAGTTGTGACTGCAGCTTGGTTTCTTTTTGAGGGGGAGGGGACACACAAATGTGTATGTAATTAAATGATTGGGTATATCATCCCTATTTTGACAAATGAGTGAGCATATACTATAGACAACACTATCTGAAAAGATAATATTGCAAGGAGAATGCCAGAAAGCAAGGTCAGAATTTAAGGCAAACCAAACTAATCAATCAAACCTTATAGGGACTCTACTATAATTGTGCCTACTTTTCCCTTTAGGGCCACAATTAGCAATCCTGGAAACAAAGTATTTAATTAATCCCATGATCCTCTAACTTTCCTGGAAATATATATCTAAGCATGACAAAGAAACTCATGCCAATTTCCTCAATTCTATAATGCAAAATTGGTTTGCAGACTTGTATTAAATGAAACCCTGAGAAGCAAACAATTTTCTCTAGTACTCTTTCATACGAAAGAATATTCCAACTAGTATTACTGCCAGTAGACAAATGGTCTTTGTTGATTGCTTGGTTCTAATATGCAGACTCAGCTGTTTTGTTTTTTTAATTCTTTCTTTCAGTGAAGCAAATGGCAGAAATGCCTTTTAAGCTCCCTTTCTTTCTTCCTCAGGCCCTTAAATCTTTACCAATGGTGATTACAACATGGGCCGTAATTGGAATAATATATAATTAAATACAAATCGCCAGTTGAAACATCAACTGGTAATGCTTACTGGCTAAATTCCCAGCATCATAAAAGTAAAGTATTGAGGGACATCAAATTCATGGTAGGGGAAAAAATTACTATTGTTTAATATAATTGGGAAGAAATGCAAAACAATATAGAAAATGAAAATTGCTTGCATGAAAAGACACATTTTTGTGTGCTTGTGGAAGAGCTGCCTTGTTATATCAAGCTAAAGATCCATTTAATGCATTGTGCTATTTCCAGACTTGCCATCTTATGTCTCTAGAAAGAGGCAGGGAAAGGTATTAGCATTCCCCAGTTGTTTGTCCCAGACATCTGCTATTCAAAGATAATATTTAACACCTTTGAATATGGCAGTTCATTTAGCTTAAAGCTGAATCTTAATTCCTTAGAAAATAGTTCTTTGGGAGAAAATGTCCAGGATTTTTCCTTTTTTTTGACAGCCTACGAAAAAACATACCGAAAATCATACAGGATTGAAGTCCAGGAAAATCAACGAATTGCAAGGTAATGATCTGGGGAGACCTATGCCTAATTTCATTTTGTTATGTGAAATGTTATTTAGGGTACTAACCAATAAGAAAAAGGGCCACCGTGTTATGGAGGCAAAACTGACTACACTTCTGCCAAACTGGGCCAGAAAATCATGGGGAATAGCTTAGAGTACATCCCTTTCGTGCTATGCCTCTAGACCAGTGGTTCTCAACCTTTTTAATGCCGCGACCCCAACAGGTCGTAAGTTGAGGACTAAACCGGTCGTAAGTCGAGGACTAAAGCAGTCGTAAGTCAAGGACTACCCAACCGGTCGTAAATCGAGGACTTTTCCTGCCCGGGAACGCCACGCATGTGTGGTTCCGCCCCCTGCGCCGGCCGAGGCGTAGCTGGCAAGCGGCAGAGACGGAGCAGGCCGACCACCAGCTGGCCCAGCCCAAGGGAGGTAAGGCACCCGCCGGAAAAGGGGAAAAAATGGCGGACAAAAAAAATGGCGGACAGCCTTGCTTGGCGACCCCCGTGAAATGGTCGATCGACCCCAAATGGGGTCCTGACCCACAGATTGAGAACCACTGCTCTAGACAAAGGAGCGACCTCAGGAGCAGATGCAGCATAGTTGTAAGAACAAAACCCTCTGAGGCATTTCTGTGAGATGTAGGTTTCAATGTTTTCTATTTTAACCCCAGTAGACGTAACACACCAAGTGAGATGGTCCAGGAAAGATGTAGATAATACCATTTAGTTAGTTAGACTAACTAAAGATTAAATTGAATAAATCATTCTCATCATCTTCATCATCAAGGCTGCCCGAAGATATTTTGCATGCAGAAACATTTCACTTGGTTCACATACATCACCTCTTTAACCAGCGTTACAAGGAAGTAGTACTTAACATCAGTATGTATTACACAAATGGAGCAGTGGATGCACAACATTACAGGTAGTCCTTGATTAGCAACCACCATTGGGACCTCAGTCATTAAGTCAAGGGGTCACTGCATGAAACTGCAACTGTGTTTGCAATCTTACTTCTTTTGCTTTACAGACCAGCAAAGTTCACAAATGTGGGCATTGGTCACCAAATTATTTTTTCACCACTGTCACAACTGCAAATGGTCACTAAACAAAGCAGTCACTAAACAAGGACTGCCTAGTCTATTTGCTGGACTGGACTGGTTGTTTACAATCCCTTGGGGCTTTTCCACCTTAAAGTTGTTTTCCATGGAGAAAATGATGGGCAAGACAGACTGCCCAGCAGACATCAAGCTGCCTTATTCTACCTGCGTGTACAAGATGGATCAGAATAAAATTTAGAAGAATAGACCACACTGTAAGTTGCAAAAAGCCATGGTTAGCAAGCTTCAGAAATTGGAAAAAGGATTTCTTTTCTCCCATGAGTTTGTTACGGGTCTTTCTACAAGTTGTAGTCCAAACATATTTGGAACGTAATAAGTGGGGAAACCTACCATTGAACCTTTATTAATAACTTCAGCAGTGACCTTGCAACACGTTCAATATAACTTTGAAAGTACAATAGATATTTTCCATCATTTTCTTGAAAATCCCTTTGAAGCCTTTAAAATAATTGTACTGTACAAGTATTTATGTCATAGATTATTATTATTAACAATTATATTATTGGTTATTATATGGTAATTGTCATTGTAAATCATCATGTAAGTTTCTGTCTGCTCTGGCAAAAATGCTGGATCTAATTATTAAAATATTTGGCTAATTTCCAGCTCATGTTAGATTTCTATAGTTTTGTGACTAGACCCTATTTACTATTATTAAAGAGATTTTTGGATAAACAGGCATGCAATAAAAGAAATGTTGCTTACAAAGGAGAAGTCTTCAGCATTCTGACAGAGCAGCTTCGGGAAAATAATCTGTCTGTGAAATCTTTCTTCATCTTCAAAAACATTTCCGTACATAAAGCCATTCGTCATAGTGGAGTGAGCATGGATGTCAATATAGAATTCCAGGGTAACTTTCTGTACAGAAAATACATAAGATAAATTGAAGATACGTTTCAACAAGGAAACCAGCTATAGGAGTGGCAATCTCATTTCTGAAATTCAAAGTGTGGAGTAATTCTCAGGGGTGTCCATGGGGAGGGTCAAAAAATGGCAGTCACAACTGCACGATAGAAACCCTGCCCTTTTTTATGTACATCATACATGCAACACATGTAAGAAAGGACTCTTTGAGTTGGTTTTTCTTTGAGATGTTTCCACTCTTGAATGAGACTTTTGCTACCCATTTATGCTGGAAAAAGTCACATGGTGGCCTGCTTCTCAGGGGAGCTGCAGGATCTGCAAAATCAGACACATTATAAACAGACACATTATAACTGTGTGTCATGGTTCCGATAGATAGAACTGAATAAATCAGAATTCTGAAACTTGAATCTTCCTCAAAGAACATGTTTATTCGATACAAAATATTGGCACAGTCAAAAGTGAAACGAAGTCTGAAATTCCCTTTAAAGAGTTACACTATTACAAAGTAAAAGTTCCCACCCTAGTGCTATGCAATAACTACGCTACCTAATAGAGCAGTTTGGCGGGCTGTCTAACAAAACACCCAACCCTCTTCTCCCAAGTGAGAGACTGACCTTAGTTTCCATGGGACACAATATTGTTTAGAATAACAGAGATACTCCATCCCCCCTCCCTTTCATATGGTAACCTAGAACAAGGCAAGATGGCTGTAGTTAGGTTCGTTGTAGACTTGACACTGTGTCCAATTGAAGGCAACTACAATAACTTTTTAGACCTTCCAGTTTCACCTGAGAAGGCTGAGATGAGGATAATGAAGGGGGCAAGATATGGCATGGATCTTCCATTCTCTCAATGACAATACATGAAGATGACTCAGGTTTCCTCTCTCTAACAACACAAAACAGTAAGGCTTATTGATTATCTAATCTATCATGGCCAAGGAACTATAAATAATCTAACAAGTTATTTCATGTTAATCCACATCATCATCTTTCAGCAAAGTGTCACTTCAAATAATAATAATAATGATAAAGTTGGAAGGGACCTTAGAGGTCCTCTAATCCAACCCCCTGCTCAGGCAGGAAACCCTATACCATTTCACACAAATGGCTGTCCAATTTTGTCTTAAAAACTTCCAGTGTTGGCGCATTCACCGCTTCTGGAGGCAGGTTGTTCCACTGGTTAATTGTTCTAACTGTCAGGAAGTTTCTCCTTAGTTCTAGGTTGCTTCTCTCTTTGGTTAGTTTCCACCCGTTGCTTCTTGTCCTGCCTTCAGGCGCTTTGGAGAATAGCTTGACTCCCTCTTCTTTGTGGCAGCCCCT